ATAGAATAGAATAGAATAGAATAGAATAGAATAGAATAGAATAGAATAGAATAGAATAGAATAGAATAGAATAGAATTCATTATTGGTGCAAAAGCTCACAGGGTACACATAAACAGCAAGTCATAGCTCATAATTATAGTTACAAACATTAATCATAAGTTACAAGCAACAATTATTATTCATTATTACTATTACAGGTAGTCCTTCACTTACAACAGTTCATTTAGTGACTATTTCAAGTTCCAATGAAAGTTTCAATGAAAAAAGTGACGTGATCATTTTTCACACTTATGACCGTGGCAGCATCCCCATGGTTGCACAATCAAAATTCAGATTGATAACCGATATTTACGACAGTTGCAGAATCCCAACCTCACACAATCACCCTTTGTGACCTTCTAACCAGCAAAGTCAATGGGGAAGCCAGATTCACTTAAAAACCATGTTATTACCTTAGCAACTGCAGTGATTCACTTGTCAACTGTGACAGGAAATGTCACAAAATGGGGCAAATCTGACTTGACAAAGGCCTTGCTTAGCATAAAGTCTGGAGTCAATTATGGCCATAAATCGAAAACTACTTGTATATAAAAAACATGGAATTACTGGTGACATCATCATTCCTGACACAAAGGAGACTTTATCTAGATTTTGTGGGTGGTTTTTTTCCAAACTTGGCAACATTAAGATGTGTGAACTTTCCAGCATGCCAACTGGGCAATTCCAGGAGTTGAAGTCCACATATCATAAAGTTGCTATGAAAAACATTGATCTACATTAATAAGTAGTCAGGAAAGTAGATAGAGACAGAGATATAACATTCCGCAAAGTATTAGCAGCAACAGGAACCCATGGAATGCTGACATACAATTTTATATATCCCTGCTTGGAAACAAAAGGTCTTAAGTAAGATATAACAACACTTAGCTGTATGTGTTTATGACACATTGTTGATTCTTGGTGACTGCCGTAGTTTCCTTGGCAAGATTTCAGAAGTGGTTTGCCATTTGCCTACTTCCTAAGGTTGAGAGGGAGTGACTGGCCCAAGGTTACCCAGCTGAATAGACTAGCACATACAGTTTTTCTAGTTTCTAGCCCAGTGGCTTAACCACTACAACAAACTGGCTCTCAATATATCTTTTTCATCATTATCATATCAGACGTGGTGGCGCAGTGGTTAGAGTGCAGTACTGCAGGCTATTTCTGCTCACTGCTGGCTGGCTGCAATTTGGCAGATCAAATCTCACCAGGCTCAAGGTTGACTCAGCCTTCCATTCTTTCGAGGTGTGCAAAATGAAGACCCAGAGTTATGGTAGAGTATTGGGGGGCATATGCTGACTCTGTAAACCACTTAGAGAGGGGCTGTAAAAGCACTGTGAAGCGGTATATAAGTCTAAGTGCTAGTGATGTTGCTATTTTAGCCATTGTCTAACCACTGTGGGATGAAGGCCTCTTCTGCAAGTTTCCAACCAATATAGTCCTGAGCTTTCTTTTGCCAAATGAACCAGCAATACTTGATGATGTCACCGATCCATTTTGTTTTAGGTATCTTTCATGGATGCATTTTATCAAGTGAGAAATCCAGATGGGTCTCCCAAGGTGAACAGGTCCAGACTAACACTGATCACATCTGCCAATCCGGATTGGGCTAGCATGGCAAATTATGGTTTATTCCTTCCACATTCCAAAACAATCTCAAAAACATATGTATCTGGTGACTCAAAAGATTAGGATTTTCTTTTCCATTCGGGTGGGATGAAAAGCTTCTTCTGAGGCAATGGACACAAGTAGTCTTTTGAGTGACCTTAAGGGTTCCATAACAAAAAGTAATTGGTAGGGTCAGGTGGAAGGCCCTGTTTCATTTTAGAGTTAAAGTATTTGTAAATTGTGACTGTTCAAAGTTATAACGGCACTGGGGGGAAAAATAACCTATGACCTTTTTTCACACTTACAACGATTGCAGCATCCCCATGATCACATGATCAAAATTCAGTTACTTGGCAACTGGTTCATATTTATGATGGTTGCAATGTCCTAGGTCATGTGATCCCCTTCTGAGAAACAAAGTTGATGGGGAAGCCAGATTCACTGAATAATCGGGTTACTGATTTAACAACTACAGTGTTAAATTCACTTAACAACTGTGGCAAGAAAGATTTTCCCTTCCCTTCCCCCTCCCTTATTTTCCAATTATTTTCTTTCGTATTTTTTTTTTTTGTATTTTACATTACAAAATAATTTAAAAAAATAAAATAGGCTCAATTGTTGTCACAAGTTGAGGGCTACCTCTATTCTATTTCTTCTTAAATTAAATATAGATAATAGAGTAAACCTTCCATCATGTATTGAATAATGTGTCCCTTTTGTCTCAGCATAATGGCAAGCTGTTTCTAATTTAATGTGTGGTTTTATTGCAATATTTACAACTTGACCTGCCCCTGATACTTAGGATAACTTTTCTAATGTCACTCTCCCATCTCATCCTTCCAAAGTATTTTTCTCTAATTAAAAATAACTATGATATCTCCAATTTAATTTATGATAGAGTGGAGATTTCAAACTGAATCTTACCAACACCAAAGATCTTTTGCTAGACCAAAAGATATACATTTTCTCCTTCCTAGAAGTAGCATTATCAATATGAGAAGTTCTCATACTCACTTGATGGACCGACACATATCAAGTCCCATCTTGACGCAGTTCTGGGCATGGTTTGGCAAAGATACAGGCAATCCAGACACACAATAGTAGCAATCTCCTAAGATCTTGATCCTCATGCAGTCATTATCCTAGGGGGTGGATGGGGGTGGAACAGAAATATAATTCCATTCAAAAGCCACCATTTTGATCACCTTGGAAAGAGGAGTATCCCATTTTGATTTATAGATCATTCTGGAGAGAACTCAAAGTGGGAAACAAACTTTCAGAATGAAAATAGTCTCTAAGAAGATAAAGCACATATTAAAATTAATCATAGTCTACTAGCCATGAAGACCACCAAGAATGTCAAGTCTATAGATTTACAGATTTTCTAAACTTTGAAAGAATGGAGGCCCAATAAATCTGTAGAAGAAGGGCATTTCTGTGATTGGCTTCTGATAGTGAGGAGAACTACAGAACAACCTCTCTTGCAGTTCTTAATGATCAGACAGGTTCATAACCTGACAGATGATCCTTTAGAGAAGCCTAAACTGCTTAAAAAGTCAGTATTTGAAATTGTGCTGTGAAAACCACTGGCATCAAGTATAGAATTGGCAATGCAAGCATTTATTTATTTATTTATTTATCTATTTATTTATTCACTCATTCATTTGATTGCCATCCATCTCACCTTGTGGTCCTTATATAGGATATCAACAAAGGTGTCAATAGGATATCCAAATGAGATGGCCTCTTTTGCACCAACCGTCACTTTCCAGGTATTTTCCAAAGATAGCCAAGATATAATATAACTAAGGCATACATAATCCTTGTGGGTTGCCTGGTTATTTGGAGGGAGACCATTACTCACCTTGGCAATCTGATCAAACTTGCCAAAGAGTTCATTGAGCATCAATACTAGCTCTTTGGGAGAACATTCACTGGCCAAAAGTGTGAAGCCAACAATATCTGCATAGAGGATGCTGTGGGAGGAGAAAGGCAAAGGAAAGAGAAGAAATGCTTTATCTAGAGGGAGGACTAGCACCTCCTCCAAATTCACCACCCTTCTCTTCCTCCAACCACAAAAGTCCTGGCAAGCACTCTTCCATGTGCCAGATGCCTTCGAATCAAGTACCTGACATTCTGGTGCCTCTTGACATAAAGGTTGTGGAAATTGTTGGCACTTTCATGCTGGCGTTGGGGCTGGCCTCCATCCCGGAGCCGCTCAATGATCTCAGTCTTCATCTCCAAGGCAATGTAAGCAGGAAGGATGGAGAGGAGCAAATGTTCCTAGGAGTAAGATGGGGAGGGGGGGAAAAGCATCAATGGAATGAGTTGTGGAACCTTCTCACAAATGTAGAACTTATTTCAGGTGGCAATAGCAAGAATCCACTCACTGCTGAGTTATTTTCATGCTACAATTCATTCAGATATTCATCTCTCAATCACTGTTTGACAGAGCCTTTCTTCAGATGGAGAAAAGTTCTATCTAACCTGCTTAGCTTTTTCAAGATCCAACAAGAGTAACTGTTGTTGTTGTTAGTTGCGAAGTCATGTCCGACCCATCACAACCCCATGGACAATGTTCCTCCAGGCCTTCCTGTCCTCTACCATCTTCTGGAGCCCGTTTAAGCTCCATTCAGCCACCTCATTATCTGTCATCCCCTTCTTCTATTGCCCTCAATCTTTCCCAGCATTTTCTCCAGTGAGTCCTTCTTTCTCATTGGGTGGCCAAGAGTAACTACAACTAGGTAAACATCTCTCCCTGTGTGTCTTTTTCCATAATGCCTTCCACACTCACCTGGTGTCGCTTCTCTGATTCCAGCTTAACTCGAGATTGGATGAGGTTGAAGGTCTCATGGAATGTCTCACCCAGAGCCACCTCCATCAAATGCTTGTGATAGGCACCCACCAAGTTGCCACAGACAAAGATGACCAGATTGGCCAATTGCTGGAAGCAGACATAAAGACAAAGTGAATTGTGACTGATGGGAAGATGGCAGTGCAGGTAGGGAAAAAAATCCAGGAACTATTCTGCTTCTCTGCTGTTCCAAGCAGCAAGTTGTATTGGATGGGCTTTAATTGCTGAGAGACCCACTTGGATAAATGTCATAAGAAACATATTGATGAAGCAGTGATTTGCCAAATAGAATCAATGGCTTGGAACAATTTAGGGTTATTCATCTCCAGTGGGGCTCCAGGATTGGATTATTACAATCTTGGAAAGGGAGTTGTGGGAGATTAGGATGTTTCTGCATTGTGATATCATTGTACCAAAAGTTAGAGCAAACTTCAGTTAGATACTATACTACCAGATCAGAAGCGTTGAAGTGCTTCTGTGGTACCTATTTATCTATTTCACATCATTCTGAACTGCTAGGTCAGCAGCAGCTGGAGTGAATGACAGACTCTCTCCCCCATCACACATGAGCACCTGGGCTTCAAACAGAGGCTTGCAAATTGTCAACCAGCTTCCTAATAATGTGAGCCTCAATGTGTGCTTCTTTTCAGTTAGATTTTTCTAAGTTTCCATTCAATTGAAGCACAAAAGTCAACATGGGGTTTATCCTTGGTAAGTCAGAGCTGACAATAAGGCCACAGGATCAGGAGATGATATCTCCTGGACAGAACACTAGTAATCCAAATGAAGGAAACAGACAATACTGGGATAAATTGGGAAAAATCTGAAAAGTTATGACATAGATTACCCATTTGTCCAGATGGGCTGGGTAGGCTTACCTGCACAGCCAGTTGTGAATGTGAACTGTTGCCCATTGAGAGGTAGATACTCAGAACTATGATGTGTGAGAGAGAAGCTACGATACCAGCAACTACTGCGTCTTTCATGCCAACAGGCAACATGGTGTAGACAATGAAGATTATGAAGAGGAAGAAGGAGACCTTGGAGAAAAACGTGTCATGGCAGTAAACTTTCCATAAGGAGTCATAGAAGGAAAGCATATGGGTAGAATAAATGCAAATTGAAGTCTTTCCACAAAGATTCCAGCTTGGGACACAATAGAGAACTTCCAGTTCCCAATATATGAATTATATTTAACTGATTCTTCCCTGGACAACACCAATTTCTTCATCTCTCTCCCTCCCTTCTGAAAATCTCAGTGTTTCCCTTCTCATCGGAGAGGAGAGGAGAGGAAAAGAAAGGAAAGGAAAGGAAAGGAAAGGAAAGGAAAGGAAAGGAAAGGAAAGGAAAGGGAAGGAAAGGAAAGGAAAGGAAAGCTCTATAAACCTCCATCTCTGTGCATGAAAAGCTCTCCATTCTAAAAATTAATGAAAACTTGAAATCAGGAAGAGATGTTGAGTAGAACTATTAACAGAGGCACTTTGCCTTTTTTACACATAAATCATTCTATTCATCAAAACAAATAGAGTTGTAGTTTCATTCTAGAGCAGCAAATCCAAAACAAATAGAATTGTAGTTTCATTCTTGAGTAGCAAATCCAAAATAAAGCAGCACCAACATCTGGCAGTTTGTGTGTTTGTGTGTGGGTGAATTTGAGCCAGCCCTTTAATTTATTTCATTAAACTTTTTCTCAAGAAAACACAACACAAATAGAAAAGAGATCAAAAGAATAAAAGCATAAAGTACTAAGGAATCAGCAGGGAATCCAAAATGTCAACGAGATTATAGTTTTTCATTATACCGTTTGTTAATTATGAATGATTGAATATATCACTTTAAATGAATATATCAAACTTCACTATTAAGCTCTAAAACTAGGAAAAATCTCAAGAAACCTAGCCTACGCAGTATAAATCAGCAAATAAAATAATTATCCATAATAGACGGAGCCATAAATAGTGAAATTCAGTCATTTAAAGTGATATATTCATAATTAACAAATGATGCAGTAGAAAACGATAACCTTGTTGACATTTTTGGATTGAGGATCTGCTCTGCTTAAATTATCCCAGCAAATCAAAATACAGATTCTATTCACAGAAAAATTCAAATTTTGGAAGAGGTGTAAAATTTATGTACAGGTAGTTCTCAACAGTTCATTTAGTGACTGTTCAAAGTTACAGTGATTTATGACCATTTTCCATGCATTTTTCACATGACCATTGCAGCATCCCCATGGTCATGTGATCAAAATTCAGATGCTTGGCAATTGATTCATATTTATGGTGGTTGCAGTATCCTGGGGTCATGGGATCATCCCCTTTTGCGACCTTCTGACAAGCAAAGCCACTGGGGAAGCTAGATTCACTTAACAAACATATTACTAACTTAACAACTGTAGTGATTCACTTAACAACTGTGGTAAGAAAGGTTTTTAATTGATAGGAAGATGGCAGTGCAGGTAGGAAAAAATCCAGGAGCTATTCTTAACTCACTTAGCTCACTTAACGAATGTCTTACTTAGCAACAGAAATTTTGGGTTCAGTTATGGTTATAAGTCGAGGACTGCCTGTATTCTTGCAAAGCTCTGCCAGGTCCTTGCAAGACAACCAGAGTTGTCAGCTCTACACATTGAAGCAAGGTGGGCATGGCACCAGGGACAAAAAAGCATGATATCCCCTATATTTTTTGACAGGTAGTTGTCAACTTATGACCATGATTGACCCCAAAATTTATGTTGCTAAGTGAAAAATTTGTTAAGTAAGTTCTGTCCCATTTTACAACTTTTCTTGCCAAATTTGTTAAGTGAATTGCTGCAGTTGTTAAGTTAGTAACACGGTTGTTAAGTGAATCTGGCTTCCCCATTGACTTTGCTTGTCAGAAGGTCGCAAAAGGGGATCGCGTGGCCTTGGGACACTGCAACTGTCATAAATGTGAGTCAATTGTCAAGCATCCAAATGTAAATCATGTGATGATGGGAATGATGCAATGTTCATCAGTTACTTTTTTTAGAGCTTTGAATGATCACTAAGTGAACTGTAGTAGAGATCTTATATCATGATAATTTATATCATGACACAAATTTCACAGACACCTTTGCCTGGGATCGTCGGGTATATTTTGATATTTTGATGCTAAAAAAAGTTTGTGAAAAGCTTTTCTTCTGTAAATCCTCATTCCCCATTTTTTATATTCATGCCAGCGGATTATTCAACCCAGAGGTGGCATTCAGGAGGTTCTGAGTAGTTCGGAGAACTGGCAAATACCACCTCTGACTGGCCCTGCCCCCATCTATTCTCTGCCTCTCGAGTCCCAGCTGATTGGCTGGGTCTTCTTTTGTTGCTCTGCACAGGAGAACGGAGCTGGAAAGCAGGTTAATGGATGGGGAGGGAATGGAGATTTTGCAGTATCCTTCCCCTGCCATGCCCACCAAGCCACGTCCACCAAGTCACGCCATGCCCACCAAGCCATACCCACAGAACCGGTAGTAAAAAAAAATTGAATCCCACCACTGATTCAACCTTGGTGCCTCACCTGGTCCCAAGCGCAAACCACTCCATCAACAAAGATGAATACATAACCAATTGTGATCAGACAAGTCCAAATGGCAGCCGAGAAGAGGCGGGTACATCTCTGGAAGATGTTTTCCATGCACACAAAGACCAAGATGAGGCTGAAGAGAAGCAGAGCAATGAATAACGTAATCAGGAAAGCCAAGTTGGAGGAGAAATCCTGGAGAAGAGAGAAAAAAAGGCCCTCGGTTAATCTGGTTGCAAGGCCACTGGAAAGTAGAACCTATGCTCAGTGAGAAGCATATGGTTGATAAAGCATATGGTTTGCCAATTGCACAGTAGCAGATAGGACAGTGCTCCAGAGGGTTAAGATCATTGCCCAGAGGAACATTGGTTGCCCTCTCCCCTCTTTGGAAGAGCTTTATAGCTCCTGCTGCCTTAAGAAAGTTCAAACATTCTCAAAGATCCATCTTATCCTGGGAATCCTTTTTTTTTTTAACTATTACCATCTGGCAGATGGTACAGAATAATAGAAACAAGCATAAATAGGCTGAAAAACAGCTTCTATCCCAGGGCAGTAGCTCTTTTGAATTCTACTGGATAGTGCAATATTAATGCAATATCAGGGGTTTTCAATTTAATTGTATAGAATGTGAAGGATGTGTGCTTTTGTTTTTTTATGTATAATGTACACTGAATATGGATTTAATTTCACTGGTGCAATGACAATAAAGTAAACTATAGCTTCTAAACAGAAGTTCAGAAGCTGATATCTTCAGGTAGTCCTCGACTTACAAAAGTTTGTTTAGTGACTGTTCAAAGTTACAACGGCACTGGACAAAAAGTGACATGCTCATTTTTGGATGCTTGGCAACTGGTTCATACTTATGACAATTGCAGTATCTTGGGGTTATGAGATCACTTTTTGTGACCTTCTGACAAGCAGAATCAATGGGGAAGCAGGATTCACCTAACAACCCTGTTACTAATTTAAGAACTTCTGTGATCCACTTAATAAACATGGCAAGAAAAATCGTAAAATGGGGCAAAACTCACTTAACAAATTTCTCGCTTAGAAACATCAATTTTGGCTCAAAACGATATCTCACAGAGCAATGAAGTTTGGAATGTGGCTCTTTAAATGTCCAGGTGGCATCCCAGCTACCAATAACTGACAACCTTTATTTAGGACTCCAGTCAGAACCATCAATCATCAGAAGGCTTACCTCAGCAAGTGTTCTAACCCAAGCCTTGTTCAAATTAAACAAACACAAACTGTGTATAAAAGCAAACCTTTTTTAATGCGGCGCTGGGAATTCTGTGCACTCCCAGCCAAGAGTCATTTAAATCTAATTGTTCAAGATAAAAGCAAGCCCTTTCAAGGTTTAAAAGGCTGCCAAGAACAGAAATCTAATTACTGATAAATATCAACCAAACAGAAGTTTCAAAAACAAACCGGAGTTCACAGGGCTTCAACGAGGACTCAGAATCTAAAGAACATCTTTGCTTCCTGCAAAGAGCACATCCCCAAGGGCTGGTTTTTATCCCTTATGGGAGGGGCAATCACCTTCCAGCCTTACTCCCAAGTTGCCCTTGCTGCTTCAGCTGCTATCTCCTTCGAGCAGCCCCGTGCACATGTGCACGGGGCACAGGCTCCCCAGGGTCCTCTGCTTCACTGCTACCAGAAGTGAAACCTCCAAAGGCAGCACCCCACTCTCTGATAGTCCTGGCTCCATCCCTGCATCAGATGCAGGACCCTCGTCCAAGTCCTTGCCAGGCTCCCTGACTGGTTCCCTTTCGCCCTTGCTGTCAGAAACCTCTGCCATCTGCACCTGCTGCTGGTGAACCAAAACAGCAAGCTTTTATAAAAGCTGAAGGCCAAATCTCTCCAAAAGAAGTGCCAGACGGTGTAGATGTTCCCAAAATAGATGGTTTTAGGACAAATAAATTCATTTGATTAAATTTAAAATAAATTAAAGATAATATAATGAATTTAATCAGGAAGGTCCAAAGGTTTTTCAGAAGGTGGACAACCATCTTTCGTTGATGATTTCACTGATGATTTTTCTAAATTTTGCAGACAAACCTCAATTAGATAATCTTTATGTTCTCACTAATTCTGCAATTCTATCATACTGAGATGAAATTCTGCAGTTTTTTTTTAAACCCCCAATATTTGCATTTTCCTGGATGGGGAGTTTTTTCATGGTCATCCCAATCATTGATCTCTATTCTTTTCTCCCATTTTTATCTCTTGGCTAGGCAAAGAAGGTGGGGAAGCTGGGAAAACGGACTTGGACCTATTTAGTCATTCACTATTCATTTATTTTCCAGAAAACAATTGCCTGGAAAAACTTGCAGCCATTTCCTAGGCAAGGAAACATTTATTTATTTTTTGCCATCACTTGCTTCCTGCTCATTTCAGTGGAGATTCCCAGGGATCAAAGGGAAATGTAGACTGTCTACATGATTGCACCTCCAGAAAGGTCTTGGTTTGTTCTGCTCCTAAAATCTTACAGCCCCTCTTTCCAAAGACAATCAGACCAGTAGTGGGATTAAAAAACTTTTACCACCATTTCGGTGGGCACGGCTTGGTGGGCACGCTTTGTGTGCGTGCACACACTTTGCCTGCACGCATGCACCAAACATGCACTTTGCGCAGACACAGAGGCATTCCAACTCACCTCCTGCAAGCCTGTACTCTCTCAGTCACTTCAGCAGCTGCTGTGCGACACTCTTCTGTGCCGCGCAAAGCAGCTGCACTTCAAAAGCAAAAGATAAAAGTGAGTATGGGAGCCCAGGCAGACAGGTGGCGGAGAGAACTGGTTTGATCTCTGCTGCTGATTGCTGCTACCAGCTTGGCAGAATTGGACCGAACCGGTCGCATACCACCACTGAACCAAACCCTCCTCTGCTCTCTTCATAATTGAGAACTTACCCTACCACTGGTAAAGGTAGTAGCAATGAGAGCCACACAGATGCTCAGCACGATAACCAAGAGAAGAAGAATCAGAGGGTACTGTTGGCTCAAGCAATAATAGGTTTGATAGAAGAGGTCTTCTCGGGGTGTGTCACTGGTTGCCCGTAGGCGACGCTGGCAGGGCATGGCTCAACAGCTTCTATGAAGATCCACAGTGGAGAAGAACTCACTTACTCCTCAAGCGCAGGAGTCAACATGGTGAACAAGAATCCTCTTCTTGACCCATCAGCTATGAACAATTTCTACATCCGTTCCAAGCCATGGTGTCTGGTAACTGGGAAATAGAAACTCTTCAAGGAAGGAGAAAAGTCACAACTGAGCAGAACTGGGGAGGTGTTCAACCAAAGGATAAGTAGGCTGTCAACGCACCCAGTAGTTTCCGCAGCAGTTTCAGCAAAACTCCATGCAAGGAAACACGCTAGTAGCTTCAGTGCTGGAAAAACATAAAACAGAAAGAAGTAGATAAGAAAACATCAGAAGGAGAGACTGTGATTAAAGATTAATTTAGGCTGTCTTTGAAGCTCTCTCTTTTACCTAACCCCTTATAGACTTTTGCTTGATAGAAAAACAAAAATGATTTATGGTTCTGATGATTAGACCGGCTTGATTGTAGAAAGAAGAAAGTTACGCTGTCACCATAGAGTAAGAGGTAATTTTAAACAGGTCGTCCTCGACTTACTGTATGGCCATAAGTGAGTCCCAAATTTCTGTTGCTTAAATGAGATATTTGTTAAGTGAGTTTTGCTCCATTTTACAAGCTTTCTTGCCACAGTTCTAAAATGAATTTCTGCAGTTGTTAAGTTAGTAACACAATTGTTAAATGGTTTCCCCATTGAGTTTGTTTGTCAGAAGGTCATAAAAGTTGATCACATGATCCCAGATAAATATGAGTCAATTGCCAAGTATCTGAATTTTGATCACAAGCTGCAATGGTTGTAAGTGTGAAAATGGTCATAAGTCACTTTTTTCAGTGTTTTTGTTGTAACTTTGAATGGTCACTAAATGAACTGTTGTGAGTCGAGGACTGCTATAAAGAAGATCAGATCTTTATAACTCTTTTGTTCTATTTTTTTTCTTTTCTATTTTTCTTTCCCCACCTTTTTGCATTTTTGCCTTTCTCTTTAACTTCTTTCTTTTATTTTTCTTTTGTTAATTTTTTTTAAAAAATCTTTAATTAAAAAGTTATCTATTTAAAAAAGAAGTTCTTTCCTTGCCTAAAAGTTGATCTAAACACTTGGGATTTATTTCCTAGAACTTGAATGAATCTTACAGTTTATACCTCACAATAGGCATTCATTCATTAAGTTGCCCAAAGTATTTGCATTGTAGGCATTTAGCATATTTTTGCTATTTTAAGCAGCACAATCTGTACTTCTGAAGTTTTGTTTTATTTTTACCTTTATGGCTTACATTGCTACCACCCCAAAGCCTTTCTGCCAATTCAAGATCAAGCTTCACACAGCTGAATGTAATACGAGGAAGTTTAGGCTGGATTTACATATTGCTTAAGTGTGGTTTATTGAACAAACCACAACAGCCCGAGTCATAGCACACCTAAACATCACCAAATGATGTTTCATGGGAGATGTATCAGATGCATCCAATAACTTTCTCTCTCATTCTGTCTCTCTTATTCTGTCATTCTCTTTCATTCTGTCTCTTATTCTTTCTCTCTCATTCTCTCTCTGCCATTCTCTGTCTCTCGTTCTCTCTGTGTGTCTCTCTGTGTCTCATTCTTTATCTCCATATCTGTCACTTTCTCTCTGTCTCCCTCTCTCTGTGTCATTCTTTGACGTTCTCTCTCTCTCTCTCATTCTGTCATTCTCTCATTCTTTTTCTCATTCTCTCTCTCATTTTTTTTCTCTCTCTCTCATTCTTTCTTGGCCATTCTCTCTGTCATTCTCTGTAATTCTCTCTCTCTCATTCGCTCTCTCATTCAGTCTGTCTCTCTGTCTCTCATTCTTTCTCTCATTCTGTTTCTCTCTTATTCTCTCTCTCTCTCTCTCTTATTCCCTCTCCCTCTCTCTGTCTCTCATTCTTTATCTCTCTGTCTCTCCCTCTCTCTGTGTCATTCTTTGACATTCTCTCTCTTTCATTCTTTCATTCTCTCTCTCATTCTTTTTCTCATTCTCTCTCTCATTTTTTTCTCTCTCTCATTCTCTCTTGGCCATTCTCTCTGTCATTCTCTGTAATTCTCTCTCTCTCTCATTCTCTCTCTCATTTTATCTAGTTCATTCAGTCTGTCTCTCTGTTTCTCATTCTTTCTCTCATTCTGTTTCTCTCTTGTTCCGTCTCTCTCTTGCTCTCTTATTCCCCCCCTCTCTCATTTTTATCTCTCTGTCTCTCTCTCTCTCTCTGTCTGACATTCTCTCTCTCTCTCTGTCATTCTCATTCTTTTTCTCATTCTCTCTCTTATTTCCTCTCTCTCTCTCTCATTTTATCTCTCTCATTCACTCTATCTCTCTGTCTGTTCCGAACTAAGCAAGCTCGTTGGCTTGCAATTCTAATAGTTTTCTTTCCACGACAGGTTTGTAAACCTGCACTTCTGATTGGCCCGCTGATAGCGGATCGTGATTGGTCGTTTTTGGCTGATCTGATTGGCTGACAGTGGGTTGCCGCTGATTGGACGCTCCCAGCGCGGCAAACTCAAACCATTGGGTGTTGTGACAGCAGCCAGCTCTATAAAAGGAGCTGCTGCTGCCCGAGTCTTTTCGCTCTGTTCTGAAGTCACTAATAAAGAGTTGGAGTCACTATTTCGATGCCTCGTCTCCGTTCTTGCGCCCACGTTCCCAGACATAACACTGGCGACGAGGATGGGATGCGGAGACGATAGAGCTGATTGATCACCGAACGCTAACAGAGCACATGGCTGAGAGCGCACCAATAAGCGGCAGAATGACTAGCAGCGCTATACCACCCGCTCCATTTGATCCGGCTAACGAAGACTGGGACTCGTATATGGATAGGTTCCAGATGTTCCTGGAGACCAACAATCTAAAGGATGCTAAGCCTGGCAAGAAACGAGCTGTATTCCTGACCCATTGCGGTCCCGCCGTTTTTAAAATGGCAAAGGCACTTGCAAAACCAGTGGAAGTCAAGACAATGGACTGGGACAACCTCGCCCCAATCCTCCGGGCCCATTATGCTCCAGCGGTGCCAACACTCATCAGGAGACACGAGTTTTACCAGAGGGACCAACAGGAAAGCGAAAGTGTTGGAGACTTCATCACGGACCTCAGAAACCTGGGAGGACTCTGTGACTTCGCAAATCTCGAAGAAGCCATGAGAGATCGAATTGTCCTGGGTCTAAAAGACCCCACGACCCAGAGCAAGATTATGGTGAAGGGGGACATTGGCCTCGCAGATGTCATCGCCGATGCTACTGCAGCAGAAGCAACCAGGAAGTCAGCAGCTCGAATGCGCCGAGTGAACGCACCGCACCGCCAACTCGCCAGTGACACTACGCCCCTTTCCGAGAGGCACACAACGACCACCCATCATGAAGACCTCGAATCCTCATCAGAAAGTGAGGAAGAGGAGGTCAACAGACTCAGGTCAGAACGCGATCAGCGAGACCAGCGGAATCGTAAGCCCTCGTATCAATGTGCCGGATGCGGGGGAAATCACCCGCGATCAGACTGCAAATTCCTAGACGCCCTCTGCCATTCCTGTGGAAAGAGGGGCCACATTGCAAAGGCCTGCAGAAGCAAGCGAGGGTCCAGCCCAAACCGAAGAGAAAATAATTTCCGGCAGACATCAGGCACCCCACCAGTGAATCGGGACCACCCAAGCAACCCATGGCACCATTACTACAGAAACCGAACACCAGCCACTTCTACTAGACGAGAAGAGGCGCACCAAACCATCACCATCGGCCATGCTTTATCCCTTGATGCAAGGAAA